GCCCTTCATGGGCTGCAATAGCTAGCTAAAACAAACAGGGCCTCATTGTATGAAGCAGAATATTGCCTAAGAAGGAAGCAGTGGAGGCCAGTGACTCAGATCAACAGGCTGGATTCAGACCAAGGGTCTAATGTAACAGGAGGCAGGACGTGTGCCCTCAGCCATGCGACTGAGATCAGCATAAGCCAACATCTTTCTCTGGATAAACATCAACAAATGTGATGGGTCCCCCTGCCACCTGCATGGTATGGAGAAGTTGCAACCAATGGCCCATCTACTCTAGTATCCTCTCTGACAATTATACTTTTTAGATGCTTCAGAGGAGGCATTAAAATAAATTAATTTAAAAGTAGCATATGTCATCCTGCAACGGAGATGCATTACCTGGGCTCAACAGTGAATCAGTTTTTTGTCCCAGAGCCTGAAGGTCATGAGCCCTTGTAATATTCATTCATTGTTCAGCTGCTGTTATTCTATCACCTCTCACCTAGGTGTCCTTTCTTGGTGTTGGGGAACCACATGTAGAAATGTAGCAGTTCCTGCTAAAATATGTATCAAAAATCTGCAGGAAGCTGGCTTCTGTTTTCAGATCCAAAGGTATAAAAGTGATGTCAGATGCTATTCCAATTTTATGAAGGAATGAACTTTGGCCCATGTTTTGCGTGAGGTGCACACTGTGACACCAAATGGTGAGCCATGGCAATGGCAACACAGAAGGAGTCTCAGGTCCGATCCTTTGTGGTGTCCTGACTGCAAACCTGGAACATGAGACATTTAGGGGAGGAAGAATACTCAAAGGATTTTCCCACACATTCTCTTCATCAGTTCTGCCCAGTGCAGGGCTGGCTACAGCAGCATATTTCACTTTTGTTACTCTGCAGCAGTACTAATAAACAGTGCCGTACCTAGACTCCTGGCAGCCCTGGGCAAACGTTTATTATCGAGGCCCCTTTCCCAGAGATAATAACATTGCTCCCCATACATGCGCAATATTAAAACTTTTTTTTTTTTGCAATTGTAATGTTTTTTTTTCATTTTCAGACCCCCTTTGTCTGGACCCTGGGCAGCTGCCTGGTTTGCCTATGCCTGTGCCTGGGTCTGCTAATAAAGATTTTGGAAACCACTGCAACCAGATGTCTAAATAAAACTGATAAAAGCCAACATCTCAGCAGGATGCTAATGCCAATACGGATAGGAGCGAAACCCAGACTAAGTAGGTCTGGCAAGCTATTTGCCTTACCAGTTTTTCCTGAACAAGTCTCCACAACTTCCTCTTCTGTCTTATTATGTCCTTCACAAGCAGTCTGAAACCTAGCAGCCAGCCCAAAGTGGGTATTTCCTCTGTAAGTTTGGTGCTCTCTCTTCTTATACCATTTTGTATAACATTCCTTTGATCCCTATCTTCAGGGTGATCATTGTCCTATGAGGCCAAATGGACTTGTTCCCTGACAGCTGGGGTACAGATTTGATATCCTATTCCCTAGTTCAAGGTGAGTCTTTCCCAAGCAGGTGGCACATCCTGCTACATTCTTTGCTTTCAGCAATGCTTACTTCCAACACGTGCTGCAGCCTATAAATACAGGATTGATTTAATGTTACCTTGAACTTTACCCAAGCAAACCCATATTATTTTATCGCTTGGAGAGAGACCGTCTCTCTAAGAAATGAAGGAATACTGCCAAAAAGATCCCAGAACCTTAATCCACAAGATCTCTTGCTGAGCTGTCCTGTTTCACCCAGTTTCACTCGCACAGCTGGTGCTGCCCCAGTATCAGGCGTCGCCCTGTCAGGCCAGTTTCTGAACGGACAGAGGTGGTTAGCCCGGTACATTTGCAGGCAGGCGGCAGAGCGGGGCGGCAGCTTTAGAAGGGTGCTTGTACACGTGGGGGAGGCTGCTCTGTCACCCTGACATGAAGAGATTAGATGGTTCAGAGAGGCGTGTGCTTTCATTGGCAACAGGCTACTTCGCCTCATGGCCCAGGGGCAGTCCAGCTGCGGCCCGGGAGGAGCCGGGCACCGCCCCCGGCGCTGGGCGGAGCCGCCTGGCGGCGGGTGGAGGCGCGGGCGCCGTGGGCAAGACAGGTAGGGACCCCGCCGCCCGCCCGCCCGCGCCCCGGGGCTGGGGGGAAACTTCCCCGCTTCACCCCAGGGGTGTCCCGCAGCTGCGAACAGCGCGGGGCAGGCAGAGGGCAGGTGGATTTTCCACCTACTAAACCAGCTCTCCAGGCCGGCAGGATGCCCCCGCACCCCCCACTCCCTTCACAGACGGCCTGGCTCTTCTCCCTAGCCGGCCTCCCCCCAGCACCACTCCTCAGCCCGCTCTGAAATGAGCTGAGGAAGTTAGGAGGACTTCTTATTTCTTTTCTTTTTAAGAAACCTCTCCTGGCTAACCTCTCCCTTTCCACATTTCACATAGGGAAGCCAAATATTACCACCCCCCTCCCCCCAGTACTGGGGTTGCAACTTTGTAAAGGGCATGGGGGTTCCCGGGCACACATCTGATCTGAAAACTTCACCCAGTTGCTGAATGGTTGGAGATGGTTGAAACGGCAGTCTGAAAAGGGGCCAAGCGGCGGCAAAAAGCTGCCAGGGTACCCATATGATGTGCTGGCTCCTAAAATAAGCAAGTGGAAAGGGGCAGTGGAATGGGGGTTGCTGTGGACGGGCACTAAAGAGAAGGGGCCTGATTTGGAGAGGTGCTCTGCTTCCAGCGGCTCTGGTTGAAGCTGCGGGGTGCTTTGTGCTTCTGCAGTCACATCCAAAGGATTTTTTGGCATGCGTAATAATGGCCCTTTGCACAAATGCTGGCTGTAAATCAGCGGGGTTTAGAAGGACCAAGCACAGCGTAGTGGGTCAGTGCACATCTTGTAATTATACGGAAGTTGCCTTTAAAAAAGAATCTACAAACCACATCAAAGGTTAATCTCCATCAAGAACCTTGCATTTCCGGGCGCTCTCATAAATTAAAATAAGCCACAAATATCATGGAGTTATAAACTATTGTGAGGATTTATTTTCTGTCTTGTTTGTTTTAAGTTCAGCTGGTTCCACGGTATGTTTCCTTATGAAATGTGGGAAGTTTTGTTGACTGCAAAGTAGTGTGATCTCACGGAGAGATCACTGGACTGGGAGTCAGGACTTCTAGGTCCTACTCCTAGTTCTGCCACTGATCTGCCATGAGGCCTTGGTCAAATTACTTCCTCTTTCCCCATCCACCCTGAGTCTGTTCTGTCTCTTAGACTGTATGTTTTTGGAGCATTTGCTCTCTCTGCTATTTTTATATATGGCACTTGGCACCGGAGGGTTAGAGGCTGTAGGTGCTACTGTAATACAGGTAATAATGAGGATGCAAGTCTGTGTCTGTACAGGTTTGCATTCTCTATATTAGTAGGAATTAGTAGTATTGGCAATTAAAATGCAAGTTTCCACACAGAGCTCTTGGGTACAGCTGTGTGGTCACCTAGGACTGGAGGACATGATGTTCTCTAATGAACACTCCTCCCAATTCACTTGCCCAATTCACAAAGAGAGTAGTCTTAAAATATGCTACAGAGATGGCACCTCTCTCTGGCTTGCAGCCAGTGCAGAGGCTTTGCTTTGGCTTCAGAGACTCTGTTAATGTTGTGCGTTTCCATATACAGTATCCAGTGAGCTTATTTCTTTGTTGACTGGTGAATTCCTGTCTTCGAAGCCAAGGAAAAGTCACAATTTTCAACCTGAGTTGTTTAAAAGGGAAGTGTAAGAGGCACGTGGCGTTAATCTACGTGTTTCAATTTGAATTCAAAAAGTCATAATTTGATTGCAGTGTGTGAAACCATGCAAAGATTGCAGTGGCCAAGATTTGGGGGTCCTTGAAAGAGAAATATACAATCCACCCTAGACAGACCCCCCCCCTCCACCCCCCCCAGTTCTAACATCTCAGTCCTTCTCCAGACAGAGGCATTAATCCACAAAACCAAAATGGCTCTGTGCCAGTTCCTGTAAGACCTCAACTTCCACCGCTAAATAAAAATTCACCTCCACAGGCTTTGCAGCACGTCTCAGTTAGGTTATTTCAGACCAAAACACCACATTCAAGCGATCCTCTCCCTCCCCCCACTTTGGGGAAGCGTCCTGACAGCAGCTCCTGGCCTGAACCGCAGTTGCAGCCGACAGCCACCCACCTGAGTGCAGCTCTAACATGGGTGCATTAAATGTCAAAGGCCCTAAACCTGCAAGCTGTACGAGGTGGGCAGTCTCTTGGGGCTCCAGGCAGGTGGGAGAACCCACCCGCACCCAGCTGCTTGAAGGATAGGGACCTACATGTGGTATTCAGCCCACTTCCAATTGACTAATTGAAAGTAGAGAGAGCAGATGGAGCAGTGAATTACAAGCGCGTGAACTGCATTTCATGCTGCAGAACATTGGTTGGAACATAAGCCAGTATCTAGGCAATCTCATAACCTCCTGTATGAGCATATGTGCTTCCCCGATGTACTTTGGTAGCTCGCCGGTTGTAAAGTATAAGAAGCGCTGCTGAGAGAGGGCAACAAGCTTTGATGAACTAGACGCCTGGGAATTGCAGGCCACTTCTAATTATAATTAAAAGGAGCTGTTCCTGCTTTCTGGGACCGATTGAAACTGAGGTTGAAAAGAATGATTTCCTTCTATAAAATTCCTTCATTTTTTTTTTCCCACAGGGAAGGGAGATGTTTCTAAAAGATCAAAGTGGACTGCTGCACTCAGAGAAGTTTAAAAAGCCTTGTCTGCCCTGGGGACTGGTTCTAGTTACAGATGCCAGTGGTTAGCCACCTGTGTCTCTGTCGTAGTGCGAGCTTACAGTACAGGCAGGCAAAACTGGTGTAGCTGGGCCCAGCTTTGAACAGAGGCAAACTGCGACGGTGCTGGAATATGGGCTTTGCCTGTCACCCATTGTGGCTTCAGATCAGTTCAGCTACAGCCATGGCTGACATCTCCAGTGTCAATAAGGCCTCCCACTTGGTGTCCTTTCCCTTAGGCTCTCCTATTGCTTTAACATGTTTCTGTCATCCTACAAGCTGATACTCATATTCAGCTTGCTTGAGCGAGGTTGGTTAGTTTGATAATACAGGTCTCGAGCGAACGTTTTACTGGGGAGCATTCCTGGAGACCGTGAACTTACAGGCTACTAGGTCCTGGCTTCACATCTTCCTCAGGTGGAAAGGGGGTGAGTCTGCAGGGGCACATTTGAGGTGTTACTGCGCAAAAAACATCAAAAAGCAGTGAAGTTCTGCAGCCGATGAATGGAAAGAAGATGAGGAGAGGCCAAGACTGGAGTTCACAATGGACCGAAGGGTGAATTTTGGTTACATCCTTATTTCCCACTTGGGACGATGCTCTTGTTCACTAACAGTCAGGCTTCACAATCTTCAGACATTAGCAGAGCACCACAGATCAATTAACATCCCAGGGTTTGCTGATATATAAATTGTCATCTGATACAAACCAGTCTTTCTGTGGCTTAACACCCACACACAGGGCAGTAAGTGATGTGAGTTATGGATATTTGTATTGTGGTAGAGGGATAGAATGGACCCCAACCAAGATCTGAGCCCCTTTGTCCTAGTTGCTGGACTAAAACACCCTGTGCCCTGACGACTTGACATCTTAAATAGACATAAACTGGTTATTCCTGGTTTATAGATAGTGCTGAGAGAGAGGTTTGAGTGATTGGCCCCACACCCTAGAAATGTGCAGAATTGCTAAGACTGAATCCATATCTCTGGAGTCCAGTGCTTCAACTGCAAGACCAGCCTTTCTATCATGATTGGAGTTAGTCACTTCCATAGGTTTCTCGTGTCCCACTTCCTGGAGAATTGTGTGAGCTCAAGAAAACCGGAGAGAAAGCTATTTTCACATCCGAGCTGATCAAAATGTGAGAGCTAGCCAGGTGCGAGAGATGAGGGTAAAGAACTTAGCTTTGTAAAATCCTCTCAGCTTCAGCTAAAGTATATGTAATAGTGGCTCCTTTTACTTTAGAGGGACTGTCAGGCTAGAAATCGGACTTTTAATGGCCTGACTAAAAGTGGAAAGTGAAATAAAGGTGCATCTATCTAGCACAAGGCTTGAGATACTGTCTCTCTTCACAGAACAGTCTTGCAGCTGATTAGCTTGCCCTTACAGGTCACCTTTGGAGACCTATAGGGCACGTTCCCTGCAAATCTCTTCCTGGTGCAGTAGCCATTAAAACTGAGAGAGAGAGTTAAGGGTACATCTTCAGAAAGAAAATGATCCATAACTTGAAAACAGCCTAACTCTTGGTCCTCTGCTGAGACCCAACTTGAAATCCTCAATGAGCATCCTTGAAATGTTGTGAGAGGATAGAACCATTGTCATTGCCATCACAGAGCCATGCAGGAGCTAAGTACTGCTGTTGTGGAATATGTTAGCATCAAAAGTCCAGGCTCAGGCCTGTCAGAAGTTTAGACGTGCATTGAATTACATGAATCACTGGTAGAAGCTTATAAATTCAACATCTCCCAGTCCCAGCACTTGCCTTTCTTCCGGTATCTTTGGCCCTCTTCTTTAGACTTTAGTTAGTGTAACCCCTGTAATGCTTAACACGAAGGCTCTGTTTATAAAGAGGAGTTAAATAGTAGATTGTATAAGCACATTACACTCATAAGTAGCATGTGTTACCAGAGGGCTGTAAGCACATCAGTAGGTGGTGGAAGAAACCTCTTAAAACTGTCAGTCTGGGGAACCTGTTGGTGTTCTGAAACAATCCATTAGCCATTTATCAAAACATCCATTAATCATTTATAAATACAACTGTAATGCAGTTAACCAGATCCCCTTTGGAAACACTCCTTTCTGCAAGATTGCTTACATTCAAGATGAACGAAAAAGGTCTTTGCATGGGTCCCCGAATGCACTCCTGCCTCTGCCCTCATCCCCTTCTTTCTGCTGGCAGCTGCCATCATATTCTTGCATCTCAGCCAATTTTTAATCAGTTTAATTGGTTCTTCTCTTTACACAGTACCAGGCATCCCAGCTTAGGGAGGCTGCCTGCTGCATGACACAATCAGGTGCTTTCTAGAAAACAAGATTATTGACTTGTCAGACTGTCTCCTGCTTTCTTGGACAAATCAATCACAACTTTATAGATGTGGAGAAATACCTGTGGTAGGATCTTGGGCATCACCATCGGGCAGTTTTACTAAATTACAGGAGAGGCCTAGGTATTTTGGTATCTCATCAACATTCATAGTGTTCAATGGGAAGCCTGCAAAGTGAAACTCAAGGTCTGTAAGACTCCATGGACTTTCCCTTCATACAATAAAGGCAGGAGCTGATTGAGTCACCCTGATTTAAAAACAAAAAGACCCCATAGACAAATTAACCTAGGAGCCTAGTTATAGCAGCCAGCCTAGGGCCTCAGAGCAGAAGAGGTTAACAGCTGGGACTGGCTGTAGAAGGTGACTAGAGTCGGAGAAGCAGTAAGGTCAGAGTCTGCAGTCACAAATTAATCTCGTCCATCATAGCTATCCTCACTGTACTGATAACATTCCCATCTATATTAAACACATGTATTCATGCACTAGGGAAGACTAGCCAGATTTTTGTGGGCTACTCCAATTGTATTTGCACACATCTAACTTATGGCGACGCATTCCAGATAGCACGTGTACATATGGTCATATGTGTCCACCCGGCTGTGGGCTTATGCACAGCTATCTAACCCAGTATGATATTTTTGTCCAAAAATTAGGTGTCTGCAAACATTTGCTTATGACTAACTTGACAAACTGGTGCACAATTTGTGTGTGTAATCAAATGGTGACTCTATGCATGAATTTTTCACAAAGCTTTGGCATGGATCTTCGTCAAATAATTTTTTTAAACGCCCATCCTGTCTGTGGTATGTTTGTTCTTCCTTCTCTTTTCTATTTCTGTGCCTTTACCTCATTTCCATTGTGCAGAATTGAGGTGTGATCCTTCATCTCTACCCCATGTCTTTCATTGGCATTTTCTCTCTCTCTTTCTCCCTTGTGTCCCCCTTTCCTTTCTTCCTTTCCCTA